GTAGCAGTGTTTCTTCCAGTCAGGACAAAACCCAAGCGCAGGGTTTAGTGTAAAGGATGCATTTGACTGCGGGTGAATCTGCTTTAACAGGGCCCAGCCAAAAGGCATTGACCTTTATAGAGGAACACGGCTGCAGAAATACAATCGGCCTCTTGGTCTAAATAAAGGTTCCTGTACGATGGTTTAATTCATCATCACAACCAAGGGTTTTCCAAAACTGCTTCAGTTCATCTGCCCTGTTTGCTCTGTGCATGTGATTCATCCGAGCCCTTTCCTAGTGACTGCTTTTGTGTCTGTGTGAGAGACAGGATAAAGTTTACAACAGCACCCAAGTAATTCAAGAATACCTTAGAATATCATAGTCTTCCCATCCCTGAAATAGCTTAGAGCTACTGGGAAATTGTATTTATAAACTTGATTTTTACAAGGCTGGTACAACTGGTGAAGGACTTAACAGTTAGAAAATGTAGAAAAGCATTGGACTAATAAACCAGGAAAACAATACCTTGTTTTAATTGTGTAACTTTTTAACTCCCTAGCTGGAAGAAAGGGAAAAATAATTCCTGTTTCCTGAAAGAGAGTGTTCATGTCAGCGTGTTGTTAATGGGGCTGCTCCCTCTGCTTTAACTGCTCTGTTCTCTACTAGGGGGATAGGGTTAAAACTGTTTGAGATGGGCTGAATTCCCATGGTTGTTCTGCTTGTGGGCATGCTGGAATGAGCCCATTGAAAGCCCATTTTCAAGGGGTTTTTATTATATTTCAGCACATACCAGATTGGAAAACAGACTCGGAGGCGGCTGCAGCTTCCTGCTGCGGGAGATGAAACGTAAAGCCTAAACCCAAACGGGCACTAGGAGTTCTTTATGTGTCTCTCAATTACTTTCATCTCTTCATCGCTCTGTTAATGGGTGTCCCCACAGACCACGTCCTGCTCTCCCAGCTTCCCTTACGTGTGGGTTTATTCTGCCAATTGCCTCGTATTGTCAGCTAATTGGAGTGGAAATGATAAACGAAGGCGATGTTACCGAGCTGCCAGGTCTCCTCACTTGGCAGCTGGTGGGTGATGCTGCTCGTTGTTACTACAACTGTAATTGCTCTGGGCTCTGCCTACCACGTTGACAAAGCAGCCAGGTTATTCCTGCTCTGAGACATCCGATGCCGGCCCTTCCTCCCCTCTCTCTGGCAGAGGACACCTTGTGAAGTAAATCCAGCCCTGTGCTTGTTGTGTCAGGAAGGCTTGGGCTGGGTGCTCCATCCAGTGCCACCCTCACACACGTCTGGTGGCCTGGGGACAGAGCAGCCCAGGAAAAGTTAATGGCACGAGCTTTACTGGTTTCTCATACAGGCAGGGAAGGTAATTAGTAGGGTACGTGATAGGCAATAACAACCACCTTGTTTTCGGCACGGTAGTAGAAAATTGAAGCTTAACGTTCAGGCTTCAGCTGTCGCCTGCTGTTGTCGCCCTGCTTAGGAAGTGCAGCAGCACCACCAACCAGATGACCAGCCTTGCAAGCTTGGCATGCTACAGGGGACAGTCCAGCATCCAGTGACATGTTATGGATTGCCTGAATATTTTCAGGAAGCCGTAAGAAGTGGAAAGGGGGATGAGGGGAAGGACACAAACCAGCTGTTGTATGCTGCTTATTTCCACAGCCACTGCCCCAGAATAGAGCGTGGATTGTTACCTCATGTGATGATATCCCATGTTAAGTGCCATCTGATCAAATTACTGGGGCATTTTTACGTATTAATAGCAGACTCTGATTATTTTTGGTTTGTCGGGTGGTTTTTTTGCTGGGGCAGGGGAGGAACAGGTGCAGCCATCTGAAGTTATGACAGCCAGTTGAAAAAGCCGTGGTCGAAGAGATGGGGGTCTCTCTGTGCTCCGGTTCACATGACAGCGTGACAAGAGCAAACCATGAGTGCTCACAGCTGCTCTGGGCTCCCCTGCATCTGCTCTTTGTCTCTTTGGCTTGTTCTTTGCTTCAGCCCTCTTCTGCTTTTACTGCTGGTTTCTTTCTTGCCTCCTCTTCTGAGCCTTTTCTTAACATGCCACTCTTCTGCTCTCTCTCCTGCCTTTTTCAGAATCCTCATCAGTATTCCCCAAGCCCAGTTTGTGCTTGCACTCTGCTTCTGTGTCTTGGGTTCTATTTTATTTTGTCTTGTGTCTAAGTACCTGCAAGCTCTAAAGGTTTGTGAGCATATCTAACTTTTTTTTGGCCCCTGTTCCACACACCAGCCAAGTAATGTAGATATCTCTTCTTGCACCATGGCATTTTAAAATTCAGTTGAATTAGGTATGATTTCTTCTTTTGATGTAGGGAAAAAAAAAAAATTAATAAATTATAATGGCTCTACTTGGCGCTTAAGGAGGGCTTTCCATCTTCCAAGTGCTCTGTGCACAGTATTTCATTATTTATACTGTTAATTGTATTAGTACTTGTAAGGAAAAAGCCCCTTAAATTGTTAATGATAGAAGTACACTCTGAAGAGAGTAAGAATTCAGCACTGAAGTTGTCCACTGAGGTACAGTGCCGTGGAGAAGGTGTAAGGCAGATTTACAGACGTTCTTTAAGTGTCTCCTGAAAAGTCTTGCTCTGTGTTTTAAACACTAATACCTGGGAGCTTTCAAGTGTCTTTTTAAGTGCTGGGTGAATAGTGACAGAGCCTTACAGCGTGCAGGACAGGTAGGTGGGATCCTCATTTTGCAGCTGTGTGATCAGTATCTCAGTTTCTATCTCAGTATCTCAGTTTCATGACTTAGGAGCCTTTCTGATAATACTGGGGCTTGTGTCTCACTTCTGAACGTGTTACCCTAGCGTGGGCGGGCCAAGATCTCACAGTGAGCTAGGGGCAAAACTGGGAAGACCGTTCCTAAGCTCTTGGCCCTTGTTTGGTTACCTTAGCAATAGTTGCATTTGAAATGAAAAAAAACCCACCCAAAAGAATAACAGAAATACTAGCAGTCTGCATTCTGCGTTCTCCAGGTTGTGAGAGCTCCACGTGTGCACAGAGAAACCTGTTTATGCTGCTCTGTGTTAGCAGCTGTTGGCTGCACACTTCCATGTAAAGAGGGAACACGTTAAAATTAGTTTGAACGATGATCCTAACACAGTCAGCACCCAGGAATG